AATAGGAAGACTGCCAAAGCAAGGTTTATAGATGGAACTCTCCCTGTCATTTCCTTTTAGTTTACAACTGCTCCTCTGTATTACTGTATTATTATTATTATTGTTATTATTATGTTGCTATTTCTCTGTTTATGAAGCCATTGAATGTTTGCTGTTGTATATTGGAATCCTCCCTGAGTTCCCCTTGATGAGATAGGGTGGAATTCTTTACCAATTTGGGGTCCAAAATTGGGGGTTGACTATTATCCGGTATGTTATAGTATATCTTTCTTCACACTGCCTCTATATAGATGCAGAGAACCTATTTGAGCATGAATCAGGAGCCCTGAACATGGCTGCCTTGCTGCGAAAGGAGGAGCGAGCGGGTCTACTACGCAACCTGGGCCCTTGTTGCAAAGCCCTGTGCTTCAGGAGAGATTCTGCAATTCGCAGGCAGCTGGTGAAAAATGAAAAGGCAAGTGTATGTGGCATGCCACTGCAACAAAGAGGTGCCTGTGTAACACTCAGCAAATCCAGGGTGACTTGGCTGTATGTTTCTTATTGACTACTTCAGTTATATAACTGCAGCATATTTCATAAACCATCTAGTCAAGCTGTTACGTGTTTTGCCCACTGAAATCTCCCCCAAACACACCTTGTAAACAGCAACACTTCTCCACTCATCCCCCTGCTTTCTAACAACACAGAAATGGCTGTGCTGTGTGTGACGTATGTGTGTTTGTGTGTGTTGTACTGCTTACTAAGTAGATTGAAGGTATAGCATTGGAAATACAGGTATGTACACATTCTTCTCCTGATGCAGGATTTCAGCCACCATTTTCCTAACCTTTGTGTAACAGATGAATAAACTGATAAGACTAATTAAACCGAATATGTCGTGCAATACAATATGCATACGAACAAAGGTAAGAACACTGCAAATAGATACAGGACAAGTTTCAGCCTGAGTCTAATACAGGAAGTTGTCTTATTCTGGCTACCTCACAGAGACTCACGGTCATGTGAGGGAAATTGTTTCCTAATAAAAACTTTACATGGAGTTGGGCTGATCTACAGGGTAAGTTTCTCAATAGTGGGTTAATAATATGTAGCAAGCCTGCTTGTAAAAACTGCAGGACAGAAAGATGTGATACATTCAATATACTGGTTATTGCATTGCTATAACTGACTTGTGTTTGTTCTCAAACAGGGCACAACAAAACAAACCTACACCAATCCTCCAGTAGTGGACAATGAGTTACTGCGGTTGAGTCTACGGTTGTTTAAACGGAAGACTATGCAACCAGCTTCTGGACAAGAAAAGACAGAGGACTCTAAACTCTCTCAGCCGTATATTCCAGAAATATGCATGTCCTGAGTCACCCATTTGGTCTTTTCACTGTTTGGTTGTATCAGTATCCATCTTTGTTCCTTTTAAGTAGGACAGTACTGTTCATTCTGCATTGGGACAGTTCGGTTATAATAAGCCAATTTTTTTCAAAGTTCTGGCTGGTCAAGAATAAGTAGGCATTCTCCTAGCAGGAGCAGTTAAACAAATACGGAAACTTATATCTGTGTTCAGTTACTTTTATGTCTAATCCAGGAGCATGTAGCTTCTGGTTTCCTAACAAGCAAGAATCTGAAGCCTCAGTTTGTTCTTGGCATATGATTCCTGCTTTTTAGGGGATTAAAAAACCAAGGGTCCTTGTTTGGGTCTAACATGAAACACACCATGAACAGAATTTTCTCTCTTGATGGCACAAGGAGCCAAAAAATAAGCTATTAGATAGCAAGCAGTCCCCCTTTGGGGTGAGATAGCGAGGGGTAAAAATAAAGTAAATAAATTCACATGCACTGAGATGCCTCCCTGTTCCTCCTACGCCCACATTCTGAAGTGTTCTGCTATCATTACATCGAAGATGGTCCAGTGGGTGGATTGTGAGATGGAAGAGAAAGAAGGTATTTGGTAAATAAAATGTGAAGACCAGTCTTGTCTGTTTTGCAGAATGTTTTATAACATTGAGTTCTAACCATGGATCTTATTTAATAAATCACTTTTATGTAAGTGTGAAAATGTCCATTTTGGAATTATGTTTTATCACCTATTAAATTTTTAAGAAGAAAATAGTTCTGATTTTTGTCCACTTTGATTTAAAAAAAAACACTGGTTAAAAACAATGGTTACATCACTGAGATGTTCTTCTGCTCCTTGAAAAACTGTTTTTGATCTTTCTCCAATTAGCTGTGCGAGTCCCCCCTGCTGTTTTCATGCCCACAAGGATAATAGCTTTCATTACTTCAAGGGCTTTTCTCAACTTATAGAATCATAGAGTTGGAAGAGACCTCATGGGCCATCCAGTCCAACCCCCTGGCAAGAAGCAGGAATATTGCACTCAAAGCACCCCTGACAGATGGCCATCCAGCCTCTGTTTAAAAGCTCCCAAAGAGGGAGCCTCCACCACACTCCGAGGCAGAGAGTTCCACTGCTGAATGGCTCTCACAGTCAAGAAGTTCTTCCTCAGATGGAATCTCCTTTCTTGTAGTTTTAAGCCATTGTTCCGCGTCCTAGTCTCCAGGGCAGCAGAAAACAAGCTTGCTCCCTCCTGCCTGTGACTTTCTCTCACATATTTATACATGGCTATCATATCTCCTCTCAGCCTTCTCTTCTTCAGGCTAAACATGCCCAGCTCCTTAAGCCGCTCCTCATAGGGATTGTTTTCCAGACTCTTGATCATTTTGGTAATGGGATTGGAATAAACTCTAAGGGGAATCTGATATTTTACATTTTTAAAAATATTTTACATTTTATCCTACCTTTCTCTACCCCAAGGGGGACTCAATTGCCGTATGTAACACACACAAACATTAAGCTTAAAACATTAAGCTTAAAATCTACTGAATTAAAATTAATAATATATTAAACATTTTAAAATTACATTCAGTATTAAAATCACGCCATCCAAAAATCGTAATCTAATGACGTAACGTAATCATTGCACATATTCCAATTATATTATTGTATGGCACTATTCTCCAAAATTTCCAACTGTTTTCGTGGTGCCTCTTACAACAGGAGTAGAGATGATTTCATTCTGTTCTGATGCTTCAGACCAGAGTTCAGGGCTTGGATGATCCCTGAAAGTGAGGGAAATGAACATGATGGGTTTGTTTTGCTGCCATTCCCTGGTCAGAGGAAGTAACATCTGAGCCTGAGGATGTTGCCACTGTGGGTAAAGGAGCGGTGCTGATTTGAAGATACAAGCATTCATTGGAGGGATTTCTAAACTGTGTTGGGGGAGCTCCCCGAGGTCTGAAAGGGGGGGGGGTCTGGTATGGCAAAGATGCTGTGGGTTGGGGAAGAGGGAGATTATTTTAGAAATCCTTCCAGTTTGGGGGTTGTTGCAGCTTTTGCCATTTAGAGTACTAGCATTTGAGTTGCTGCATTTGGAGGCCGTCTCTGTCCAACTCGACCAATAGCTCATTACTACTTGACAAAAATAGCCTAGAGAAAGTAGCAAGGGTTTTTTTTTAAAACTTTCCATTGTCAAATTATTACTTAACATCACCTTTCATGAGACCCTATGTTACAAAACAATTGTCTTTTCTCTATTCCCGTCCCCCCCCCCCCAAATTATGGTTTTCAAGGGCATATTCTAGACATCAACTTGCCTAGAGATGCTTGCACTTGCCAGAACCCATTTAGTCTAGCCAACCTGGCATTACAAAAGGATAACGCAGGGATTGGCTTCCCAAGACAAATGCTCAAGTGATTAATCTTTCCAGGTTCTCTGGATCGTATAGGGAACCTGAGTTCTTAATCCACAGGTTGACAATACATTGTCTGACATCTTAATGTGCCCCTAATTATGGATTCATTCAATTTATGGCTGGCCTTTCTCCTTATGCTGGATCCAAGACAGCACTAAAAGCTAAGATGAAAATTACACAGCACATCACACTGCACAACTTTATTGGCAAATCACTCAAAGACATGCAATACACATGGGAAAATCTAATTAAGATAATCATGTATTGCTTGTAATATCTTTTCCTGGTTTGCTGCTCAAATTTGGTGGTGTGATTTGCCCCAAATTTCTTAAGGGCTAACAAATTGGCCTCTAGATTTCCTGATGTTGTATATCCTGCTCAACCTGCCTATCCTGCCGTTTACTGTACTATATGAAATTAAAAGTGTATATATACATACATATACATGCATAGATAGATAGATAGATAGATAGATAGATAGATAGATAGATAGATAGATAGATAGATAGATAGATAGATAGATAGATATAGTCGTGTCAGGAGTGACTTGAGAAACTTGAGAAAAGTATATGCCTTGCTGAAGTAGGCCAATATTGTGTTTGATCAGACACTCTTTTAAGTGTTCGCATTTGGTTAGGAAGGCAATGTGCCAGTTCTGAGGATTAGTTGTCACAAGTATACCTGTATACATTAAGATACAGTGGCTGATGAATAGGCCAAAATCCTGTTGTTAGTCCTGACTAGACCAGAACCATTGAATCAGTGGGATTTATCGATATATTAACTCATCATTCAGCACGGAGTGTATGAACCTGGCGTAGTTGGTCTAACCAACAGGATACCACCATGGTTTGTATCTTTTGTGAGGATCCTGTATATACAGATTAAATATGCATGCTGTTAATGCATTTCCAGAGTGGCTTATGGCAGTTTATGGTGTCTTTCTTTAAATGTGCGGCTTCAAGCTTGGAAAACACTCAAGTCTGGCAGTTTGTGTTATTGTTTATTTCTGTGAAATTAATGCCCTATTCTGTTTCACTTCTATGCTGAACATATTACACATAAAGCAGGACTAGACTCAGAGAAAGGAGGCATGAAAATTGGAAGGAGGAGCGCCCAACAATTTAAGATGCAGATGGCACCGTACAATTAGCAAACAAATAGCAAAAACCTGGAATAATGATTGAAAAAAGGAAGAAAGTGCAAAGGCAGGTTTACAGTTGAACATTAAGAAAACAATAGGACGGCAGATGTTGAACATGATTCAACATTAGTTAGCAACAACCAAAGTCCAATTTTTATTGAAATTAAAATACCAAGCAAATTGTATTTGTCTGGAATGTTGTACAATGCTAAGTGGAATACAGTGTGTTACACATTTCTAATTACATGTGAAGCTATTACTTTGATTCCAGTGAGTGCTTCAAAGCAAGTTGGTTTAATGAGATGCTGAGGAAGCAAAAATCCGTATCTTCCTTTGTCCCGAAGTTCAAAAGTGAAGGAATACTTTATACCAAGGTCATATGCCCAGTCATCTGAACCTCCTGGAGCCAAATCTATAGGAGAAAGCCAGGCACACACATGATCCAGGCCCTGCTGAGCAACCTTATATTAGCTCTGGCCTATTCACAAACGAGTCTTAATATTCTTATTGTGGCTACTGTTACATCCTTAAAGAGGCCAGCATATCTTAAAGGCACCAGCTTCCATCTGATTTTGGAATCCAAAAAGGTCAGCTTTGGTTATTAATTGGATGGGAGGAAGCCAACAAATATTAGGTGATGTAGGCTATAATCCAGAGCAGTGGTTCCCAACCTTTTTTTTGACCAGGGACCACTCTCCAACATTAGTACCAAAAGGGTTACGAACTTGTTTTTGGTCAACTTTTCTGAATCAGGTGCTGATTCAGAAAATTGGATTGGATTGACCACATCATCTCTAGGTTCTGATGCAGAACATACACCATGCAGTAGTCACCATCTGCTCGCCCACAGAAAACCATATTTAATATTTATATAATTTAATAATTATTATAATTTAATATTTAACAATCTAGAGCTGATGTGATGGTAGTAATCTTTTGTGGGCGAACAGATGGTGACAACTGCCATCCTGACATCCTCATTGTCTTGGTACTATAAGAGGGTTTCGTGAAACCAGTCGCTTCTGTTGCCACATGATTTTGAGGCAACGGTGTAGTAATGGTGAGGCTGCGGACCACTGGTGGCCCACAGACCACAGAGGATGGAACTGGCAAAATCACCTCTATTAATTGCCTAAGAAAACCTTATGAGATTCATGAGGCCGCCACATGTCAACAGGCAACTTGATATATACTTACAGATTGTTTGTGCCCCGGGGCCTGCCAGATAGTGGTTTCGATATGTAGTTTTAATAGCACTAGCTACTTTGTTTGCCAAGAATTTCTGAAAATGAGAAAATCTGATTACTGTTTAATGTGCATTAATGTATAAGCTCTAACTGCAAATAAGAACAGTTTTCTTTACTTCAGTGTTATATAGTTTTCATGTTCTGTTGTTGTTACCTGTGCTCTTGCAAAATGCACTCTGCTTATTTATTCATCCTTGACTCAAATATAATTTTGAGAAGAAAAAAACAAAAACACCTGAAGGAGGCCTGGCAAAGAGCAGCCCCCATTGCCCTCTTTATTGATTCCCTCAAGTAAGTGGCCGATTTTGCCCTTAAACATCCCGGTTGTGCCTTCTAGGTCTGCACTGAGCAGTTTTACCCTACTCCTGCCTCCTATGCAAGACACATAGAGACCTTTTTACAAAGGTAGTAGGATACTTACCAGCTCATCGTGATCTTTACTGTTATTTCTAGTATACGAATATGGAAACAGAACCATCTGGGAGTAAGAGTGCATTGTTATATATGCCTTAATATGATCCTTGTGCTTTCTGAGAAAATTAGCTACAGCTTTTACTTCTGGTTCAGACTCAGGGTAAGGTCCGCAGTACGTGTTTTCACATGCATCATTAGATGCACCTATACCTTTATTTTAAAAAGAAAAAAAATAGTTACCGTAAATGGTTAGATCTAGTGAACTGCAAAGTTATGAACATTTTTCATTCTAGATCCTCACAGTATTAGAAGCTGAAGCAAATACTCATAAGTGGAAGGCATATTATTGCTTACTGGTGTGGTACTGAGAAATATGACCACCTTCTATCTAAGGTTTTCAAATTTTGACACACTATGCCTCTAATTGTGTATGTGAACTCATAAACATCCACACAGGATTTCCAGAATAGATCCTAACATTTCCATCTGAATTTCTTCTTGGTACTTCAGTAAAATGGCTCTCTAATTATGGTTGACGTAGAGATAGGAGGAGTAACCTTACTTTCAGATTGAAAACTTTCAAAGATTTAGATTTCACTTCTGGTCTAAGATTAAGGGTTACCTATTGTTTTTCCGACATACACCAATAACCTTTATGTGTTTTATTTGACCTTTCCTCCTTTGCAGAGCTAAGGTAGAATGGAGTTTTTGGGAAATCTGGGTTTCTTTTCATATCTGGGATTTTTTGTGTGCCTGCGCAAACATTGCTATACTTGCCTTTGCCTTTGCTGAAGACACATCACTAAATCATTTGGAAGTTGGACATACACACACCTGCACATTCAAATATAATGTGGATTTTTTTTATAGAAATGCTTACAAAGCAGATCTTTCTAGAGACATAAATCACACTGAGATCCATGACATTTACGATCAGACAAGGGAGTATAAGCACTCCCCAAATTACAAACTTTGGACTTACGACCCCCTCAGGAGGGAAATTCTCTATTGGAAGAGTTACCATGGGGAAAAGGTGTCTCCACTGAAGCTTTCTCACTAATCTTTCTTTACACAAGCCAATTTTTTCAAAATCCAATATTCAGAGGGACAGAAAGTGAGGTAAAATATTCTGAATGGGCACAGACAGTGAAACAAACACCACAGGGTGTTGACTCTTCCCTATGCTATCCAAAGCTCGCTCTATCTATCTATCTATCTATCTATCTATCTATCTATCTATCTATCTATCTATCTATCTATCTATCTATCTATCTATCTTAAATATAAAACAATTATGAGGTCATCAGTTCACTTATGTCAGGGGTTCCTAAACTAAGGCCTGGGGCCCGGATATGGCCCTCCAAGGTCATTTACCCAGCCCTCGCTCAGGGTCAACCTAAGTCTGAAATGACTTGATAGCAACAACAACAACAATCCTATCTCATCAGCCAAAAGCAGGCCGACACTTCCCACTGAAATACTAATAAGTTTATATTTGTTAAAAGTGTTCTTCATTTTAATTATTGTATTGTTTTTAAGGGGGGGGGTTGCACTACAAATAAGATATGTGCAGTGTGCATAGGAATTCATTCATGCTTTTTTTCAAATTATAATCCGGCCCTCCAAAAGTTTGAGAGACTGTGACCTGGCCCTCTGTTTAAAATGTTCAAGGGCCCCTGACTTATGTGATTGTAACTGACTAGCAGGAAGCCAGCTAACATAACATAAGCTTACCACACCACCCTGCATCAAAATTTCTGTTTAAATCTGTCCCGATGCATCTGTTGCTGCCATGTATTGACCGGTTTTTCCTCCACATTCGGTCCTGTAGGTGTACACACACACATTTCATTACAATCTTGAGGTTATCACCAGTGTTCACTTTTGAATAGAAAACAAAGCTTTTAATTCAGAATCACATATCTGGGTAGGCTATCTAGTTCAGGATGCAGTTGGTCATCTATACCCATGGATTCTGTATGAAAATATTTTTAAAGAATCCAAAAGCCATTGTATATAAGGAATGCCAGTTTACTATGTCATTCTTTCGAACATGACTCGAGCATCCACTGATTTTGGTATCCACCAGGGTTTTTGGATTCAAGTCCTGGCAGATACTGGGGGTCCACTGTATTTCTACAACACCTTGAGCAATTTACGCAATCAAAAAATTCAGTTGCAGCTGAATGAAAGCCCACTTTAAAATAAAAAAGTTTTCTGGACTGTCCTAAACCAGTTGAACCAGCTGGTTTGCTCTGACATTGACTTAAATGCTTCCCAGATGTGGGAGTAGTTCTGTAATGCTTTCCATGAAACAATGCCTTTGAGAATAGCCCTAGTGAAGGCAGCCACAACATAAAATTTTATTTTGGCCTATTATTTATTTAAAACATTTATATCCCGTCATTCTCGACCTCTGCAAAGGGACTCAGAACGGCTTCCAAACAAGCAACAATTCAATGCTAAAACATAATATAAAACACATAATAAATACATCTACAAAATTAAAATAATTCTAAATATACATTAAGAACCCACTCACCAGATTAAAATCACTAGAATTAAAATCGTCATGCAAAGCAGTCCAAGTCCAGTCCAATAAATCTTGTCTTTCCCAGTAAACAAACTATTCTGTGAACGCCTGATCTCATAACCAGGATTTAAGCTTCTTCCAGAAGGTCAGGAGGGAGGGGGCTGATCTAACCTCATTGGGGAGGGAGTTCCACAGCCTAGGGGCCACCACAGAGAAGGATCTGTCACCCCAGCAAACGTGACTTCGATGGCAGTGGGACCGAGAGCAGGACCTAGAGGGAAGGATTTCAGTGCCTCCCAATCATAGAAGTTCTATTTCATTCAGAGGGCTGTTTCCTCTCTGTTGAGCTTGGCTGCCACCGTTTTCTTAGTCTTTGTATTCATTTTATGTAATGAATTTTATTTTCCTTTGCCTGAATAGTCCCCCCCCCCCCAAAATTTTCATTTACATGTATACAAATTGTATACATTGATTGTAAATGTTTCCTTGCACTGAACTCTGCACTGGATTGTGTCATTGTGTCAAGTTCAAAGCCCCATAGTGAAATGGGGGAAAATGACAAAACAAGGCCAGCTTGAACTTCATGTAAGTGATGTTCTACTGTAGGTAATTAGCCAGCATTTTATAATCTGGAAGCATTTCAAGATTGAGACGACATTTCAAAACACAACGAAATGTTTTCATTAGACACCTCCAGGAAGTGGAACTGGCAGAAGCTTGAGATCTTGCAAGAGGGCTTTATCATTGAGATTCCCCAGATCAAATTGGATACAACAGCTGGAAGGCTTGCACTTACTGTAGTCCACGTGTACTCATAGCCATCCACATTCATTACTGGCAAGATATAGAAGTCAAGGTGCTGAAGAAGCCCTGCCAGCACAGAATCCCTGCTTAGCGACTGGGTTGCCTACACAGAAAGCAAGAACAAGATTTAATGGAAAGTACCTCATGAAGAGAACCATGGTTTCTTCTTGTTGCTACTTGCTCTTATTTCAGCTTTGATTTATATGGATGTTGTGTGACAGATTGCAATGAGCTCTACCTCTTGAAGTCCTCTGCATGTATTGACCAGGCCTGTTAAATATGAACATGGGCAACATTCCCCCTGGCCTCATCAGTAACAACTTTTGGGGAAGGTCACAATGGAGCCCTCGGTGGCACAGTGGGTTAAACCGCTGAGCTGTTGAGCTTGTTGATCGAAAGGTCGGTGGTTCGAATCCGAGGAGCGGCGTGAGCTCCCGCTGTTAGGCCCAGCTTCTGCCAACCTAGCAGTTTGAAAACATGCAAATGTGCAGTAGGTACCGCTCAGGCGGGAAGGTAACGGTGCTCCATGTAGTCATGCTGGCCACATGGCCTAGGAGGTGTCTACGGACAACGCCGGCTCTTTGGCTTAGAAATGGAGATGAGCACCACTCCCCTGAGTCGGACACGACTGGACTTGATGTCAGGGGAATACCTTTACCTTTACCACAGTGTATTCCCCTCCCATTACTTTGGTTCAAAGTCTGATATTTATTTATTTATTTATTAACTTTATTAATACCCCGCTAACATCTCCCGAAGTACTCGGTGCGGCTTACAAGAGGCCAAGGCCCAACACATCAATAAAACAACAGCATAACAAATACAACAATAAATAAACTCATAAAACAAAGCAATAAACATTAAACAATAACAATAAGCATTAGACAATAACACCACGATGCATTTAAAAACTAAGGCCGGGCCAAATGTAATGAATAAAAATTAAAAAATGCTGGACATGACAAGTGAAATGGATAGGTTTTTGGAGATACGTGCAGTGTGTAGACAATCTTCAATCTCTAGTAAAGTGCATTTGGGACATGATGCTAGGAATTTCCTATTCTGGGAAGGCACACTGGAACAGCCACGTCTTTGAGCTCTTCCTAAAGACTGCCAAAGTTGAGGCTTGTCTGATGTCCTTGGGGAGAGAGTTCCAGAGTCGGGGGGCCACCACAGAGAAGGCCCTGTCCCTTGTCCCCACCAAACGCACTTACGACGCAGGTGGGATCGTGAGCAGGGCAATTGGCTGCTCTTTCAGTAGTCTCAAAGTGTGTATGCTATCCCATGCTGTCTCCTACTGATCACTGTACAGGCAGTCCCCAAGTTATGAACAAGATAGGGCCTGTAAATTGGTTCTTAAGGAGAATTTGTATGTAAGTCAGAACACGTCAATTTTTAGAGAGTAACTCCAGCCACACACACACACACATATATCCTCACTTTCTGTCCTTGTGATAATTGGATTTTGAAAAAATTGGCTTCTGTGGAAACAAGGATTGGTGATAAAGCTTCAGTGGAGACCCCTTTTCCCCATGATAACTGTTCCAGCCATGAATTTTCCTTTCGAGGGGTAGATTTCTCTCACTTCCAGTTGTTTCACCCTGCTACTTAACTATGAGTAATTTGTGAGTCGTATGTTTGTAGGGCTGAAGTAGCACAGCGGTTTAAAGCCGGTAGCTGCAGGAAAGACTGCGGACTGGAGGGTCAACAGTTCAAGCTGCGATTCAGGGTGAGCACTCGAATTTCAGTCCTAGCTCTCTGCCTACCTAGTAGTTTGAAAGCATGTAATACGAGTAGATCAATGGGTAGTGCCTCTGTTGGGAAGGTAAAAGGGTGCCCCATGCAGACATGCCAGTAAAGATCGGAGAAGGCTACAGCCAGCAGGGTCCTTCAGCATAGAAAAATAGAACAACTGCACCTCCACATGCTCAGAAGTTGGGCATCACACCCCCCCCCCCAGACGCCGGAAATGGAAAGAAGAGGAAGACTTTTACCTTATTTGTGTATTGTATGTCATTGTTCGTGTTCAAAGGCATTTTTGCCTTTTATGTACTGTAATCCACTCTGAGTCCCACCGGGGAGATAAAGCAGAATGTAAATAAAGTGTATTATTATTATTAACTCAGGGGCTGCCTGTATTGTCATTGAGAAACTTGCAAATAGAAAATCCATACTAATATATTTTCCTGGTTTGAGGTCAGGCCAATTAGTTTGTCATTTACTGGATCTGTGTTTTTGCTTTTAAAAAAAGAAGAAGAGAAAGACAGTGTTTGTCCTTGCTGATTCTCAACATTTCTCAAATATTATGGCAAGTGGTTTAGAGGGTACATCAACAAATTCCTTCAGTACTTTGGGATGGAGTTCATTTGGCTTGGCAGAGCTGTACTTATTTAGGTTAGATAAGTGATCCCTGACTAACTCCCTCTCATTTCTTATATACACATTTATTTTGAAAATATGTCACCTACTTACATGTCCTATGAACCAAAGACAAAAAGCGGGAGAAATCCATTCCCGAGCATGGATACCACAGTCTATCCAAATTGCATTTTTCTGTGTCCCATTTCCATTTGAAAGCTAAAAGAAGAATGTAAACAGAAATATAAGCGCCCCTCCACACAGCCCTATAACCCAGAATATCAAGGCTGAAAATCCCACAATACCTGCTTTAAACTAGGTTATCTGAGTCCACACTGCCATATATTCCAGTTCAAAGTGGATAATATGGGATTTTATTCAGCTGTGTGGAAGGCACCTTAGTTGCACAGTGGGGATATACAATCTCTTTAGTTAAACTGGACAAAATCATGTATTATGCCAGGGTGGGGGCAGGGGGAGGGCATACCTTTTTTCTTTGAATATATTTCTAAATACATTCCTGTGAATTGTTATTCACAAAAAAGGCATTACTCCATATGTCTTGCAATAGTTAACACAGATCAGGATTACCACTATACTAAAATAAAACTTGTATCATGTAGCATCCTATATACTCATACATAAGATTAGAAATTTTAGTAACAAAATTGAGTCAACATATACATGGATCAATATGGGTCTTGAGTCTTAAAGTGTAGCTCCAGCCAGGAACTTTCTCATTCTCTTGAGTAGAACCGGTCCGAATCCCTCTTTTTTTTTTTTTTTATAAATTTTTATTAGTGATTTTCTTTTCAAACAGTAAAAACGGGGTT